ACAATTTTACCCTGCTGCAATCGAACGGATGTCTGGTGTGTCTCTTGATTAACTCTGGCAAAAGTAAAAGCTTGAATTAGGTCCCCTATCACACTTTTTTTAGATCCCATTGCTGTTCCCCTGATTAAGTCTACAGTAGTGACCACAGGACTACTACCAAAAAAACAAAGAAAAAAAGAAAAAAAAAATCCAGCTAGTTTTTATTTCCTCTTTTACACATTCTAAGAGGAAGTAGTCCTGCATCATGTCCTCTGAGTTGCAGCTCGGTATTTTTCCTTCCTCTTAGCATTTTCTAGCTTATGTCCATGCAGTTATAATTGGCTCTAACCTGTCACGGCCCTGTCTTATTTCTGTTAGTTTCTAATCACGCTTGTTCTTTCCAAAGAGGATCAGCGGCTTCTGTAGTTGGTCTGTCTGATGCTTATTCCCCAGCCATAGCTACCTCCCACAATAAAAGAGAGGTCTCCAGCCTCAGGTATTTCACAGCCTTTCCTTCCATAGGATGCTGCCCTTCTCATTTCAGTGCTCTCCCATTTGTCACCGATAACCCTTATTTTCACTTCCACATGCAAAGTTAAAATCACTGTGTCAAAATTCCCTCTTTACGTATCTATTTCAACTTCCTCTTTCCCATTCCTCTGCGGCCCTGGCTTTTGCTTTTTTGTTCTCCTCTGTGTGCCGTAACGCGTCCCTGTGGCCTGCGCTTCGCTCAGCGTTACGCTTTTCACATTTCCCTGATCCTGCCATAAAACTGACCTGCTCGAAGTGTTGCAGCTGGTGAGTTTTCTCCTTGCGCAGCGCTGTGCCATGAGGCATGCTGGCTCACGAGATCAGCAACTGCCAACCCAGCGCGCTCACCCAGCGCTTCAAAAGTTCCCGTAAAACCTCAATGCATGCACATATATTAAAGACACAAGAAAGGGAAAGGGGAAAACGGGGCATTTAGCCTCACCTCCCCGTGATGCAAATATTTGTGTGCTTGTCTAAGGAAATATATGCCAGCATTCTGAGGGACGAAAAACCTTCATGGATCCAGGGTCAGTTGTCTCTTACAGAGCAAACATTTTAAATCACCGTTTTCAACTTACACTGAAGGCAACCTCAGCGATAAGACACGTGAAGAATGTATTAGAAAAAACGAGTATAAAAATTGCACAGCACGGAAAAGAAACTAGAGTTAAAAGTCACAGACAATAGGATTAGAAATACAAACATTTACAGTAGAAAAAAGACTAAACAGATAAGTCGGGACTTGCTGACTGGGGTTATCTAGTATTTTGTTGTACTCTTTAGCTCTTAAAAATACGTATTTCCAGAGAAGTGAGAAGAGTATCAGAGTTGCAGCGCTGCCGGGTATCTAAATTACCTACTTCTGCTGCATCAATCAAACAAAACTGGGCTTTTAAATTCAGATTTAAATTCTTTCCTAACAGCTTTTTGACAATGAATTTGTATGGCAACTTATTACAGTTATTATGTACTATTTTCTAAGCTTCTCAGACTCACTCTTTATTTTAGAAAAAAAATAAATGATGGAAATGATCATTTGGGTTTGAGATAATATCCTGATCGTAAAGATGAAGCATCATGAGTGAATTTTTCTAAGGAAATGTGAAAAGAAAACTCTCCGTGTCCCTGTTTTTGTTGATGCAATGGTTGTTAGCAAATCCCTGATAAAACCCGGCGCTATTTTGTCGGATGCAAATAAGATATTGGCAGCACGGGAATGAACCGAACCGAATTTTCCAGCTCCCGTTCCAAACGATCTTAAAAATTACGACTTTTAAAAACGCCTCTGCGAACGTCCAGCGCCGGGTGCAACACCAG